CTGGCTTCTGTGTTGACTCTGCTGGGAAGAACTCATTGTTTTCAACAATCTCATAGCCCCACCCATTTTAACCTTTTGTCAGGTTTTAGTTTTTAGAAAGCCTCCACTTGTGGTTTTCGTTAGCATTGGGCACTCTCCACTTGATTTTGCACTGTTTGCTTCCTTGTTGAGCAACTAATAATAAACCATCATGACTCCAGAAAAATACTTGACATTATTGAAATGGAGTGCATCCGTTCCTCAGGAAGATTTCATATACGCATCTCTCCAACTTTATTCAAATGTCTCAGAACTTTAAGAACCTGTTCATATTAGAGAAGTCTTCTTCAGAAATATAAGAGACTTACTCATAGCAGGAGTGGTAAAGTGCGTGTGATAAGTTTTTACTTAATAAGTATGTTTCTGTTGATAACTTCTGAAAGCAAACACATTTTTCCTTTTTCCTAAAGATAAGACAAGTTGCTAAAGATACTACTGTTAACATTATTTCTCACCAGACAGTAAAATTACAAATATTTTAATTGTTGTTAATTTAAGACACTATAGAAAACTTAATAACATTGACAGACTGTCACATACATTTCTGGATATTATTCTCAAATTCACGATACACTTTTTCATGAAACACTGTGAATTAAGAGAGCAGCTGCAGTTCTTATTGCCCATCTTGATTTATTCTGTTTTTTAAAAACAAAAGATTTCTTTGTATCCCAAGAAATGCTGATGATTTTCTCTAGACTGCGGACCCATTTTAATCAGTACTGGCCTCTCATTCTCACTTTGCTGATTGCATGTATTCGTGACCCTTAGATTATAGGGAATGGAAGTGAGCAGCAGCTGCAAAAAGAGCTGGCAGATGTGCTGATGGATCCGCCTATGGACGACCAGCCAGGGGACAAGGAGCTTGTGGAAAGGTCGCAACTGGATGGAGAAGGAGATGGGCCTCTTTCTAATCAGCTCTCAGCTTCATCCACCATTAACCCCGTGCCATTAGTAGGGCTCCAAAAACCAGAGATGAGCCTGCCGGTGAAACCTGGACAAGGAGGTTAGGATTGCTGCATTGCTTGCGTAACCGAAGGTTATTGTTTTTAATATTTGAGTGTCTACCCTGTTCTAGGTTTGATTCAGAGCAAGCAAAAACCAGTGCCTGTGTTCTCTAGAATCTCCAGATTCTAGACTTAGGGGGATGTAAGAGGGGTAAATGTGTGTACCATTCTGATGGCCCTTTAATGTATATCATTTATACCAAAGAAAGAGAAACAGTAGTTAAATGACATTGAGGGAATCATATTTCAGAATGTTGAGAGATTTTTCCAAGAAAGAAGGAATTTGAGTTCAATGTTGGATAAATGGAGAAATAATGCTTGGTGAAGAGATGTTTGCTCTATGCCTGTATGACAGCTCTGTGGGGATAGTTGCCATGTGAAAAAGAGCCGAAAGGCATAGCAGGGAAGGAGGAGAAGGGCAATTATAAAGGCTCATTGGGAAAAGTAGGGTGTTAAAACTGTAGATGTTTATTGGGAAAGGGAAAGCGAGGGGATTGAGAGAATATAATAAAGTGTCTGAGATGATGAATGAGAGAAATAATTATAACAGCACAGATCAGAAAGGAGATAGGGTTGATTTTTCAGAGCGATGAAATACTAAAGATTTTTAAAAATTCAAAACAAATAAGCGGAAGGGTATATCAAATCTGAATCTCAGGTCACCTTTTAGATGTGAGATTGGTGCTATGTGAGTTTTCTGGCTTTAATGGGCATTTCTTCTGTGGCAATGGCATATTATTTCATGCCATTAAGTATTTGAAATACTTAATTTTAGAACCTAAATATACCTTGTAGATTTTTACTTGGTTTTCATGTCAGCAAAATGGCAAATAAAATTAAATAACCATCTCCTTATCATTTCTTTCAGATTCTGAAGGGTCAAGTCCTTTCACACCAGTGGCTGATGAGGACAGTGTAGTTTTCAGCAAACTAACTTATTTAGGCTGTGCCTCAGTCAATGCTCCCCGGAGTGAAGTGGAAGCCTTAAGGATGATGTCCATCTTAAGAAGCCAGTGTCAGATATCACTAGATGTCACCCTGTCAGTGCCGAATGTCTCCGAAGGAACCGTGAGGTAAGACCAGCTTCTTGAAATATTGGTAATATTTGATCAGATTTCTGACCTATCGTTTTAGAAAGAAACAGTAGTGAACAAAATACATAATTATCTTATTCCTGTAATGTTTAATCTTTTGGCACTCATCACATCTTCCAAGGATTGTGACCCTTATGAAAAATAGTCACTCATTTGAACAGTTTTTATACTCTTCTCTACCCCAGTTCTGTTTAGCACATTAGGAAATTAATTGTTTGGGGGATAATTGAAATATGTTGACATGAGAGTCTGCCTGATAAGTTATATTTCACATGTTCCCTTAATACAAATACTAGCTTGACACATTAGTTCAAAATGGAGTTACATGCTGATTTTAGAACTTATAAAAACCATTTGATAAATATTAACTCTTCCTATGCAGTCTCTTAATTTTTAAGATGAGGAAACTGAGGCCTAGAACAGTCTCTAAAAATGGCTGTTGTTTATAATAACTAGAACAATGTCAACAATTAACGATAGCCAATAAGGTGTTTTTATTAACTAGCTAAATACAGAATTCTAAATAATCAGATGAACACAGCTAAAATATCTTTTTTTCCTATTACAAAAAGTACATGTTTATTTCAGAAAAAATCAGAGAACATAAACAAAAATTTAGAAAAAACACTCTTTAATTGTGCTCTCTGATAAATACAGTTAATATTTTGGTTTAATAAAACACTCTGGGTATTTGTATGTGTTCGTGTATGTGTGTATATACCTACATATATGTGCATATATAATTATACAACTCTTAGAATCAACATTTTTGATAATAGTGAAATTATACACACCATCTTGTAAAATCCTTTTTTCACTTAGTTTTATTTTGTGAATTTATTTCCATATCAGTAAACCTGATCAAAAGTTTTAGTTTATGGTGGCACATGATGCATTATTGAGAAAGAACCAATCTCTTGTTAGACATTTTCATTGTTTTTTTTTTTTAATGAGAAAAGTACTACTAATAATAGCTAATATTAAGCTTTTATGATATGGGCACATAAGTGCTTTATCTATATTTTTCTTATAAATACGTATTTTTGAGCAAAATTTTTGTATTTTTTTTAATTTCCTTGGTTGTACACTTAAAAATTCCTAGAAGTAGACTTATTGGGTCAAAGGTTTGCCCACTTTTATTGCTTGTGATACATTGCCAAACAGCCTTCTAGAAATATAGATCCAGTTTATACTTTTATCAGTGGTATATGAGAATGTATGTTTGTCTACCCTTAGAGGCATTTTGGATTTTAATGGTGGTAGAGTTGTAGCTGTATGTGGATAGACGTAAGTTAATTATATTTGATATTCCAGTCGTCTGCAAATGTAATTCTTCTCTTCGAGTAAAGAACTTTTTTACAAATCCTAATTTTCACTATATTTATTAATGTGAAATTTTTAAAAATAATTTTATTTTTCAGTTGTAGTTTTTGTTTTTTTTATGTAATAAAGCAGATTAGGTCATTTTTAGGTGATAACGAACTAATGACTTATTTGGTAGTATAATTTACCTATTGATCTAGTCTTTATTTAGTTACAGACTATATAAGAACCGTATGTGCTTACCAATATTACTTATGCCTTCCTGATTGCCTCCCTAAAACATGGAATTATGTAGTTTTTAATTCCGTGGTATTATTATAATCAGTAACTTCAGGAATCAACGTATGGCTTAATTATCAACACTTAAGATTACTGTGATTAGCATACCAGAAAAGATTTATATGAACTTCTTGATAGAAAGATGAGTCTCAAATCATAATACTGATATAGTGAAAATAGTCTATAATCCCTTTAATCTCTTGATATCTTTTTTTGGACAGACTCTTAGATCCTCAGACAAATACTGAAATAGCAAACTACCCTATTTACAAGATCCTCTTCTGTGTCAGAGGGCACGACGGAACTCCTGAGAGTGACTGTTTTGCCTTCACTGAAAGTCATTACAATGCAGAGCTCTTCAGGATACATGTCTTCCGGTGTGAAATACAAGAAGCTGTAAGTCCTTGAGAGAATACTGTCTGCAAATGAAAGTTAACCTGTCCCCTCACCGTGTTGAAATGATTACAGTATTTATTATAGTCACTTAGAAGCCAGATGAAACTCTCTGCTGGTATTTTATTTATTCCATCCTGATGGGCTGTAATACAAATAAACTAAAAGTTGGGCTAACCAAAACCTCATTGCTAAGAGTATCAGTTGATTGGCTGCTTCTTAATGAGGTTAGATAGGGATCTTGGTCTCAGCAATGACACATTTGCAAACTGTTCTTTAGAGCTAAACTTTTGGAATTATTTGTATTGTAATAAATATATTCAGATAGTCTCTAACAATTTTGAAAATCATTTCTCAGTTAGATTAATACTGTACACTACCATTTCTTTTTTAAAACCCCTTTACTGTTGCTTGCTTTATTGGCCTAACAAATTAGATAATTTACCAAAAGAATCAATGAGAGAAAAAAGGATTGCTCTCCCCGACAAAGGAGGTAACCTGCAGATGTAATAAAAGTATTTTATTTCTTGTGATAACAGCCCATCTCCTAACGTGTCTGGTTGTAGGTAAGCCGGATACTTTACAGCTTTGCCACTGCCTTCCGCCGTTCCGCCAAGCAGACCCCACTTTCAGCTACAGCTGCACCCCAGACTCCTGACAGTGACATCTTTACCTTCTCTGTGTCTTTAGAAATAAAAGAAGATGATGGTAAAGGTTATTTTAGGTAAGGCATCTTATTTCATTCATTTTTTTTTTTTTTTTGAGATTGTATTAACATGCTATATTTGTGGTTCAAGGGAAACTCTAGGTCAGATTATATAACTTTCATACTACAAAATGATTGCTTTTATAGTCAGAGGTTTTTTTTTTTAAATGTAAGTAATAAAGGAAAACAAATAGGCAAATGTGCAGAGGCCACATCTGAAGAATTAAAACAATTCATGAGGGAAAATGTCACGTTATTATGTTCTTTTAGGCAGACTCAAATATGACAGAAACTAAGTCAATTGGATTTGTTTTGCCAGGGGTTTGGTTTTGTTTTGGGCTGGTTGGTTGATTTGTTTTAATAATCTAAATATCTTAAGGCTACTGAAGTCAGGTTTACCACTGAAGTTTATCTCAACACATTGGAAGGGGAGAAATGAGGTCTGTGAATTCTAACCTTGCATATCAGATGAAAAATAAATGGTTTGGGTTTTTACATAAAATGATACGTTTTTGAGTTGTGAAAAAAACCCTGGAATAGAAATAAAAACTTAGGTTTAGTTTAATTATTGCTGCTATTGACAATGTGAACTTTTCCAAGATTCTTTACATTTCCTGATAGTATCCTTACTTATAAAATGAGGTGGCTAGACTCTAAGAGCCTTTCTAACTTTCAGATAAACTATTATGGTAGCGAGGTACTTGGATTTTTTTTTTTTTTCTCTCCATAGCCCATATCACAAAATGGATGCTCTTTTGGATTATAAATGATAGTTGCATATAGAGTCTCTTTCCTATATGACTGCTTCATAAAATGAGTAAAGTAAAATTACATCAGAATATTAATGATGTCTAATATTTTGCTTTTAAATTAAAAGGCACAGCAACTGGTTCACTTGGAATACTGGTAACTCTTGGTCTCTCTTCAAAGACTTTGGGATTGTCATGCCATCTGGTGGCTAGTTTAGTGTACAATGCAGCTTCAGCTCTGATTTACGCACTGAAGTGGGAGGCATGGTGCTCTGTGTTTTCTCTTTATAGTTCTACCTCAGAGCAATATTGTGGTGTGATGCTTCCTGCGATGTGCATTTCTACCCTACAGGCTTTTACAAATATTTTTTTCCTTTTAAAGGAAATAAGCAGTCTTTTAACTATATATTTTTTTCCTTTTTTGAAGATACTAGTGAAATCCTGTTTGTAAATTTTGGTCATGACAGGGAAAATTTCTAAGATATCTCAGAAGAGAAGCACTAGGGTACCTTCTGAATGCAAGAATATTCAAGGTAGAATGATAACGATTCCAGGCATCCCTGTTCTGTCCACCCTCATACTAGGGAGATACTACAAGTAAAATTCCTGGGTGGTCAGATTTGCTTCTCATGTTTGTTAGGGCTTTACTCTCTTTTTTGCATGATTTTACCGAATTTGTAGTTTATAGTGGAAAATAGTGTTGTGTAACCTAAAATAGTGACGAATTCATTGAAAAATATTCTTTTCTTTGTCAGATTTGAACTCGTCAGACACAATTTCTTTTATCCAATGATTCTACCATATTGTTTTACAAAGTCCTAGGGCAAGAATTAATACTCTCTTTATTCCTGAAAAAGTATAATTCTTACATTATTAAAATTAGAAACCTGCCCGTCAGTAGCCCTTAGGAAGATGGAGCATTTTCATTTATCCCATTCAAAGCACTTCTTTTTGATATTATTTAATCTACCAAGTAACCCTGTTAGGTAGCCTGGGTATTTGATACTATGTTTGTTCAATATGTAAAGAAACCCAGGGGCATTAAGCCTGGACCTCAGTTTCTTAATTTATACAGTAAGAATTAAATGTAAAATTACTTGGTTGACTCCATTCAGTGATGTAATGACAAGTCCAGAAATATAATCTAGATCCTCTGACATCAGCGCAGCGAACTTCTGCTGCTTTCCTATACTCTGCTTCCTGTTAATGTGGCTTTTCCTTGCCCTTCAGATGCAGGACACCAAAGACAACTTTGTTTCCATTGTTGTTTTAATTAGGGCTGAGAGATGAGATTATAGTTGACCCTTGAACAACATGGCTTTGAACTGTTAAGGTCCATTTACACGCAGATTTTTTTCAATAAACATACAGTCTCCCCACCCCCAAATCCCCAGGTTTCACATTTGTGGATTCAACCAACTATAGATTGAAAACAATATTTTTGATCTACAGTTGGGAATCCATGTATGCAGAGGGCCAACTTGTTTGTGGGTTGTTTTTTTTTTAATTTTTATTTTTATAGGCCAGGCAACCCTTGGTTGACCTCACAGATTGCAAAGACCTTGTCATCTTACAATCCCTTATTTTTTTTATTTTTTACACTTACAGCACCTGATCTTCCTAGGTGGTCTCCCATCCAAGTACTAACCAGGCCCGACCCTGCTTAGCTTCCGAGCTCAGATGGCATCAGGCTTATTCAGGGCGACATGGCTGTAGACTAGGCCAACTTAAGTTATATAAGGATTTTCGACTGGAGCGGTCAGGTGTTCCGCACCTCTAACTCTCACATTAGTTAAGAATCAACTGTATGTTTATGCTTCAGCATCCACAGAACGTAGAGACTAGTGTATTATCCGTTGAAAATTGAGATGTGTCCATATTGTTATAGGTGAAAATTCCGTCAGCCACAAATATTTAACAGTTTGGTATGCAAAAGTGTTTGTCATTTCTAGGATCCTTTGCTAAGATTCTTTGATTTTCTAATCTCTGTGTTATAAAATGTTCTTGAATTGGTTACTATGTAAGTGCTGATGAGCTTCAAACTAGTTTTATCTCTTCAGAGCCACTTTCCAGTTTTAGTAGGTACTCAGAGCTCTCAAGTAGCCCTTTTATAGTATCTGCTAATGATTCTGTTGCCATTATCTTGAAGCTGTACAGTTATAAGATACAATTTAGGTTTACTGCATATTGGCTGATTGCCATAGGCAGGTGTTTGCCTTTGAGAACAAAAGAGCTAGAAAAAGTGGTGTGTGAGACACTAGGGGATTATTTTGGTAAATGTCATTTTAAGAATATTTTCAACTTTTTCCTAAAACTGATTTAAACTATATCATTAGTATTATTTTAGATACAGACATTCCTTCGAGACCACTGCAATAAAGCGAATATTGCAATAAAGCAAGTCACACAAACTTTTTGGTTTCCCAGTGCATATAAAAGTTGTGTTTACACTATACTGTAGTCAAAGTGTACAACAGCATTAAAATGTACATACATGAATTAAAAAATACTTTATTGCTAAAAAATGCTAACCAGCTGAACCTTTAGTAAATCATAATCTTTTTGCTGGTGGAGGGTCTTATCTTGATATCGATGGCTGCTGACTGATCAGATCAGGGTAGTGGTTGCTGAAGGTTGAGGTAGCTGAGGCAATTCTTAAAATAAGACAATGAAATTTGCCACATTGATTTAGTCTTCTTTCATGAACAATTTCTCTATAGCATGTGATGCTGTTTGATAGCATTTTACCCACAGTAGAACTTCTTTCAAATTGAAGTCAGCCCTCTCAAACCCTGTCACTGCTTCACCAGCTAAGTTTATGTAGTATTCTAAATACTTTGTTATCATTTCAACAGTCTTTATAGCATCTTCATCAAGAGTAGATTCCGTCTCAAGAAACCACTTTCTTTGTTCATCTGTAAGAAGCAGTTCCTCATCTATTAAAGTTGTATCAGCAGCAATTCCGTCACATCTTAGACTCCACTTGCACTTTGAGTGCTCCTGCTTCTTCCACCACGTCTGCAGTTACTTCCTCCACTGCAGTCTTGAACCCCTCAAAGTCATCCAGGAAGGCTGGAATCGACTTCTCCCACACTCTTGTTAGTGTTGATATTTTGACCTCGTCCCTTGAATCATGAATATTCTCAGTGGCTTCTAGAATGGTGAATCCTTTTCAGAAGGTTTTCAATTTACATTGCCCAGATACATCAGAGGAGTCACTGTCATTAGCAGCTAAATCCTTACGAAATGTATTTCTTAAATCATAAGACTTAAAAGTTGAAATTACTCCTAACTTCATGGGCTTCAGAACAGATGTTGTGTTTAGAAGCCATGAAAACATCATTCATCCCATTGTCCATCTCCGTCAGAGCTCTTAGGTGACCAGGTGCACTGTCAGTGAGCAGTGATATTTTGAAAGAAATCTTTTTTTTTCTGAGTAGGAAGTCACAACACTGGTCTTAAAATACCCAGTAAACCATGTTAGAAACAAATGTACTGTCATCCAGGCTTTGTTGTTCTATCTATAGAGTACAGAGTAGTGTTAGCATAATTCTTAAGAGCCCTAAGATTTTCGGAATGGAAATGAGCATTGGCTCAACTTGAAGTGACCAGCCGCATTAGCCCCTACCAAGAGAATCAACACATCCTTTGAAGCTTTGAAGTTAGGCATTGACTTCTCTCTAGCTGTGAAAGCCCTAAATGGTATCTTCTTCCAATATAAGGCTGATTCATCTACACTGAAAAATCTGTCGTTTAGTGGAGTGTTGTTTACCTCCGTGAATTATCTTAGCAAGCTCTTCCGGATACCTTCCTGTAGCTTCTACATCAGCACTTGCTGCTTCACCTTGCACTTTCATGTTGTGGAGACACCTCCTTTACTTAAACCTCATGAACCAAACCTCTGCTAGCTTCAGACTTTGCTTTTGTGGCTTTTTTTTTTTTTGACCTCTGTCAGCCTTCATAGAATTAAAGAAAGAGCCTTGCTCTGGATTAGGCTTTGTTTTAAGGGAATGTTGCGGCTGGTTTGATCTTTTATCTAGACCACTGAACGTTCTTCATATCGGCAACAAGGCTGTTTCACTTCTTGTCATTCATGTGTTCACTGGTGGAGCACTTTTAATTTCCTTCAGGAACTTTGCATTCTCAAGTGGGCTAACTGTTGGATGCAGGGGGCCTAACTTTCAGCCTGCCTTGGTTTTCGACAAGCCTCCCTCACTAAGCATAATCATTTCTAGCTTTTGATTTAAACTGAGAGATGTGTGACTCTTCCTGTCACTCCAGCACTGAGATGCCATTGTAGGGTTATTAATTGGCCTAATTGCAATATTGTTGTGTCTTAGGAAAATAGGCCTGAGGAGAGGTTGGGAGCCAGGGAACGGCCAGTTGGCGGAGCAGTCAGGACACACACAATAATCGTTTAAGTTCACCACCTTTTTGGGTGCAGTTCTTGGTGTCCCAAAACAATTACAATAGTGACATCAGCAATCGTTCATCACAGATCACCATAACAAATATGATAATAATGAAAAAATTTGGAATACTGCAAGAATTACTAAAACGTGACACAGAGACACAAAGTAAACAACTGCCGTTGGAAAAATGGTGTTGAGAGACTTGCTTGTCACAGGATTGCCACAGACCTTCAGTTTGTAAAAACACCATATCTGTGAAGCACAGTAAAGCAAAGTACACAAAATGAGATGTGCCTGTGTAACACAGGTTTACAATTAGGTTATCACTGCTTAAGGAAGTGTTAGGCAACAGCTTACTGTTGGCCATATCTTCTTCATCTCTGTGATTTTTTTGAAGGCACCTTGTTTTGAAATTCAAAGGATCTGTAATTAAGTATCTTATTCCATATTTTTAAACCAATAAGGCAATAATAATATGTCAAAACTAGTGACTAAATAGCGAGGAAAGAAAATAACATTTTTTTTTGAGCAGCTATACGCTAGATGCTGTACAAATACCTAATTTAACTTTTACAGCAACAAAAAGGAGAAAACTAAAGCCATATTTTAGGGGCCACAGGAGTGGTTTTTCTGCCCTTTAAGTAGTGGAGTGGGTTACATATAGTAATGATGATACTTTCACATCAAGAGGCAGATGATAGCTTTTAAATTTCAGTTACGATTTAAAAGCACAGAAAAGAATCAAACCTGTAATTCTTTTCTGTGCCTGGTTTTCAGACCATAACAGAAATCGTTTGAGTAAATGTCACAAGAAAATACTTTGCAAAATTAATGAAACATGTTGTTCTGCAGTGCGGTGCCTAAAGATAAGGACAGACAATGCTTCAAACTACGTCAAGGAATTGATAAGAAGATTGTCATCAATGTGCAACAAACAACTAATAAAGAACTTGCCATTGAAAGGTAAACATTATTTGTAAGTTTAGCTTAAATATAAATTTTAGTTTTTATCAGTCTAGTGTAGAAATCATATTCAGTATTCAAAAATATATTTGTAAAATTTGTTCCCTAGGGAATTCTTTCGATGATTGAAGTGGCTATTTCATTCACTTTGAATTAACTCTCATAAATTTTTTGTAAATGTGCTGACTGTGTAATAATAGAAGGCAAACATAGAATTTGTTTATCTCAAAGAAGTGAGGATTATTTTGGCAGTGCTAATTATTAATAATTTTAATGTCCTTTTTTTCATCATTAAGAATTTTTTTAAGTAACCTAATTTAAACATCTTTTTTGTGTTGTTTTTTTCCAAATTTATGTCAGTTCTTTTTTTGCAGGTGTTTTGGTCTTCTCCTTAGCCCAGGAAAAGATGTACGAAATAGTGATATGCATTTGTTAGATTTGGTAAGAATTTTTTTTTAAGTTATACACTATTTTCTTGATAAAGATTGTTTCACTTTATCTCACCTAATCTAATGTTAAAGCACATTTATGAAAGTGTTCTCATAAGCTATAAAGCAATAAACAGAGTTAAGAGAATTTATTTCTGACTTGGATATTTACTAGTTTCTTGGCCGTGTAAGTTAAAAAATCTTGTTTATCACATAGAGTTGATGTGGGAATCGAAAGAGAAAAGTCGTGAGACTTATTTGCAAACTACTATGAGCTTGATAAACATAGATGGTATTAGTATTATTTCTATTATATGAAAATCTTTTATTTTCAAAACTAAAATTTAGTAATTACTCGCTTGACAGAAGAATTCAACATGGGTTTAGGTAGTAAATTTCTCTAATGTTTATACAAGTTGATGTGATTTTCAAGCATCTACTTATAACTTTTTAGGAACAATTACATAAATGATTGGCACATCTTTAATTTTAACTGTAATCATTTATATACATTCCTACCTTTTTTAAAAATACCTGATTCTCTTTTATATTCTTACATTTTTGCAACTCCTTTTCTTAAAGACAGCAAAATGGAGTTAGACGTTGTTTTCTGACTTTGGCATTAATGTTCGTTTACTCTTTTCTTGAGGAATCTATGGGCAAAAGTTCAGATGGAAAGTCTTATGTTATCACTGGGAGCTGGAATCCAAAATCCCCACATTTTCAAGTTGTAAATGAAGAAACTCCTAAAGGTAATGCAGATTGTCGACAGTGTGGACAGAAATTTTAATTCCAAGAAGATATCAAAGCTTAGGACCACTTATTTGACTAATTTCCAGTGTTTACCTAATTCTGGTGAAACCAAAGAATTTGAATAGTTCTTTGAGTTTATTATTAAATTTGACCTGTAAACAAAGTATCATTTTTCCCCACTTATTTTTCTCTCCCTATCTCTTTATTTTTTCCTTTCGTGCTTCCTTTTCTATTTGTGTACTCATTTATTTATAGACTTCTAAATTTTATTTATTTGGGGGAGCAATTAATATATTCACATATGGTTAAAATTGAAAGGATATATAAAGAAAAGTAAAAATCGATCAGAGTCCCCAGGACCCCCACTCCAGAGGGGACCACTGTGTTCAGTTTCTTGTGTAGCTTTTCACATGTCTGTGCATAAACATTCTTTTTCAAGGTATGTCATACTCTTCTTGAATGTTGTTTAATGGCTGCATAATATCCTGTTCTGAAATGTAACATTATTTGCTTAACTAATGCCTCTTATTGAGCATTTATTTTTTTCCTTTTCATTTTTTCTTGTAATTCATAACACTATAGATAAATGGATATAAAGGATATCCAATCTTGGTTACCATTGTTATAATCAAGATTTTAAAATTTGAGAATTTCCAGTGTTGGTGAGAGTGGCATAGAGAAGCCACATGTCACTTTTGTAAAACAATCTGACAGTACATTTCAGAGGCTTTAAAGTATATACTGTTCTAACTTAGTAATTCCACTTCAAAGAACCTACCCAAGGAAAGAATTCTCAATACAGGAAAAAAGTTTTCAAAACAGCGATTTATCTGATTATTTTAGATTCTTATTTAGTTTATAGATTACTTTAAGATATCTTAAAAATCTGTAATAAAACTAATTTTACATTAATGATATGAGCAAATATATTTCCATTTTTTATTTGCTTCTCCCCTCTCTCTAGATAAAGTGCTGTTTATGACCACAGCTGTTGATTTGGTCATAACAGAAGTACAGGAGCCTGTTCGATTTCTCCTAGAAACAAAAGTCCGAGTTTGCTCACCTAATGAAAGATTATTCTGGCCCTTCAGCAAACGTAGTACTACTGAAAATTTCTTTTTGAAATTAAAACAGGTACTGTACTTTTCTATAAATATGGAGGGGAGGGGAATAAGAAAGGAGAAACCACGTCTGAGGGCTGATTTGTCATTAAGCTATCAATTAGATCTTTAAACAGTCATGTGTATTTTAAATGTATAAAGAGGAAAAATGTCCTTTATTTTTACCCATTTATTTACCATTTTTGTTGCTCCTCATTTCTTTCTGAAGAACCTAGCTACCATCCGATCTCACTTGCCTTCTACCTGTAGAAATTCCGTTAGCTTTTCTTTTAGTGCAGATCTACTACAGACATAACTTTTAGACTTTTTTTTTATCTGAAAATGTTTTTATTTCATTTTCATCCCACAGTCTTCCTGTTCCCATTGTTTTTGATGAGAAGTCAGTATAGATTTTATATTGTTGCTATGTATGCGATGAGTCATTTTTCTCTGGATGCTTTTAAGATTATTTTTTATCTTTGATTTTCAGACATTTAATTATGATGTGTCTAGGTGTGGTTTTCTTCCTGTTTGTAATGCTTGGGACTTGCTTCACTTCTTGAATTTTTAAATTTACGATTTTTGTTTGGTTTTAACGATTTTGGAGAAATGCTGGCCCGTTATTTCTTTCAACACTTTTTCTGCCCCATCTCTTTTCTCTCTCATGGGATTCCAGTTACACATATTTTAGGATTTGGGGTATTATCCCACACATCTCTGAAGCTCTATCTGTTTTTTCAAATCTTTTGTTTTTTCTTCAGATCAGATAATTTTTGTTGACCTATCTTAAAGTTCAGTTGACCTTATTTTGTCATAGCCAATCTGCGGTTAAGCCCATTCAGTGGTTTGTTTTTTTTAAATTTCAGATTTCATATTATTTATTTCTGGAATTTCCATTTGGTTCTCCTTTCATAGTTTCTGTTTTCTTACAAGATTTTCCTCTTTGTTCTCTTATTTTCAACAGATTTTATTTTATATCCTTGAGCATAATTATAATATAGCTACTTTAAAAATCCTTGACTGCTAATTCTAATGTCTGGTGAGTCATATTTTCCTCTTTCTTTGACTGTCTAGTAATTTGGGATTATGTGTTAGATATTTTTAAAGATGGATGGTAGAGACTCTGTTAAGGTCTTCTGAGTATCAATTTTTTTTAAATTTGTCAGTTAATATGGTCAAAATCAAACTCCATACTCTATATCTTTTGGTGAGCAGCAGATACAGTCTCTGTTCCCTTCATTTAGTTTGTCTTGACCCAAGTTTCCCCCCAATTTTTTTCTTTTCTTTATATCAAAATTCCTTAAAAGAAATCAAGTTTACAGTGACCTAAATTGCTAAATCTAGTGGTCATTCTGAGTCTTCCTTTTACTTGCCCTGTCAGCAGCATTTGATGTAGGTGATTACTCACTCCTCCTCAAATATACCTCTTTTTCTTAACTTTTAGGACATCTCAAATTTACCACAGACAAAAAGGTCTCATTCTCTTATCCTCTACCCCTACAATTCTCTGTCTTTACTATCTCAGTTCATAGACATATTCTCCTAACAGTCGCTTGGGCCAAGAATTTTGCGGTTTTATTTTTCACACCCCATATCCAGTCAGGAAATTCTATTTGCTTTTAAAACATATCTAGAATCTGACTACTTCTTACCACGTAGGTGCCATTTACTTCATCTGAATCACTGTTTTTACCTCGATTATGGCGATAACCTTTTCACTCATCTCCCTGTTTCTCTTTTTTTACATATATCATACATATTCCAACATAGCAGCCTAAAGTCAGAGCACATCATTTTTCTGTTCAAAACCCTCTAACTGTATTTTACTTCCTAAAAGCCAAAGTCTTGACAGTGGCTTATAAAACCCTACCCGATATGCTGCCAACTGCACCATACACTAATGTCTTACTGTTCTTCCTTCTTGCTTCCTTTGCTCTAACCATGCTCTTAGGACCTTTGCTATTAACTGTTTCTTCTGCTTAGAATACTCTTCCCCTGGATCCCACTTGTTGTTATTCATCTCCTTAAACCCTCATCTTTTTTAAGTCTTTGCTCAGATTAACAATGCAGTTTGCCTGCTTTTCCATTGGTATTGGTTCTGCCAGTTGCCTCCCCTGAAACTGATATATTTCTAATTTTTTTATAAGGCTGCTCCCTTCTAATATAGCACATAATATATGTATTCTTATTTATCTGTTTTCCATATTAAAATCTTCTACTAAGACAGTATTTCTAATCTGTCTTATTCACTGATTTATCCCAATCATCTAGAACATAGTAGTTCTCAATAAGTATTTGTCAATTTGACTTCATTTACATGTCACTTTATATAGAATTATAGCATCGTGTGTGCATTTAGTTGAATATTCTTTTCTACAGCAATAATATTTTGGTTCCCTATGTATTCAGGTTGACCCTTTTGGTTATAGTCAGAAAAAGGTAGCAAGTAGAACAAGAATAGAGATTTCTTTTCAGTGTTGTCTTAAGAGACAGAAAGTTAACTTACATCCCGGTGCTGTTCTCTCACCTGTTCACTGGCAGGAGCAGAGGCTCGGCATAAGGTTATCATCTAGGACCTGGCTTAGGAGTCAGTACATGCATCTTACCATTGATGAGCTTTATGACTTTGAGCTACTTCCTTCAACTCTCTGACCCTCAGTGTGCTCAGCTGTGAAATGGCAGTGATAGAATCCTTCCTCATGGTGTTATTGTGACGTTAGGAGAGAAACTACGCAACACACTTGGAATAGTTCCTGGCACATAGTATGTTCTTCATATATTTGAGCTATTATTATTGAGGGGGACTGTGGAACCCCACTGGGACTGATGAAGAATAAAACACTAAGTCATGAAATCAGAATAGCACTGATTATTTAGAGGATTAGCCCCAGGGGAAAAATGCCTCAGAAGGAAAACCAATCTACAAGCATCATTTTAAAAGTTTAGGGAGTGAGAATGATTTTTAACGGTTTCTAGAGTAAACGATGATAAGAAAATGAATTCTGTTATATTTTTAATATGAATTTGTAAAAAAGATATTCCCTTTAACTAAAGAGATTATGAGGAGTTTCAGCTCTTTATCTTATCTTAGTAAACATAAATAAGATTCCCCTGGTCTTGCTTTTCTCTTGAGGTCTTATATTACACAGCCCTGGAATTCAGATTGCATGGGTTTACAGGAATATCACTTCCGTAGTTTGGTCTAGAATAATGTATCTAATTAATTAGGTTAACAAATGACTTGGCAGAGTAAACTAGCCCAGAAGATATGTGTACCTGAGACACATGTCCTCACAGGCTACTCTAGACTCTCTGTTAAGATTACAAGCCAAACATAGGCTGAGTTGTCAATATTTTCTTTGCAAAAGAAAACCCCAGAAGTTTATATGTGGAAGCTGGGAGGAGGACAGGGAATTCCTGAGAATAATCTTTCATTTTTCTCCTTATTTGGATAAGTCTTATGGAGGGGTGGGAGGTTGTGTGAGGGGTAAAGAGTGGGAAAGGAGTAAGAAAAATTAGAACAACTTTTGCTGTCTTGGAGCAAGTAGAGCCCTGTTAATCTCATCCATTGTAACATAATAAACTAAGTTTATTTCCTCTTCCATAGCATTGAAAAGTAATAGCAGCTACCATTGATTGGGGCCCTACTGTGACCATTGGTCTGCTAGCTGTTTTCACTTTTTCTGTGTTATATAATTTTCTTCCATATGCACTGAGGATATGTAGGAGGATAGTATGCAATGAGGATAGTATTCTCATTTATAAACGTGAAATAGTAGATTTTATGGGATGTTGTGTGAAATAGATACATACCTAAGCTTTCTAAGAATCTCAGCCAGGGTTCTTTTCATAGAAACGTGCTCCTTTTGTGTTTCTTTAAGAATATTTTTAGTATTTACTTAAATCAAATTAAGCATAATTAAAATTTTTAACCCCTTTGTACATCTCAGTAGACAGAAAAGGAAACAGTGCTGCACACCAAATTTTTTCGAAATATACAATATGTAGTTTCCGTTTTTTGCTGTATGGAAAAACAATTATAGAAACGTTTTTTAAAAACATGTTTAAAAATTGATTCTTTTTCCTTTCACTAAATTTATTTGGTGACTAAGTAACTCCTTTTTAGCTTGGAAGCCTTCCCATCCGTGGGGATTGTTATATTAATATGGCATCACAGTGGAAGAAAATGGTCTAAAGACTAGATTTTCAAAAAGTGACAATAAGGTGAATAAAAAACCAACCACGCATTCTTAAAACTATAGATTTATGGAATTTTTATTGCCAAAGAGACTTTAAAATGTTTTATAAAATTATTGTAAATAAATAGCTGACGTGTGAAAGACTAAAGGATGTAGCCAGTGTCATATAGACAAGTAATTAGGATAAGTGTTTCAGAACCCTGTGCCTCTGACTGTCGTTTGCCGTGTGTGCGTGCATGTACGTGTGCACGCATGTGCACAAATATGTGCTAAATCACTTTACCATGCTCTCAAGATAAACAATACGAAAGTGCTTTCTGTACCAGAGCTTTTCGACTGCTGAATCAGGAGGCACGTAAGCGGGCGTTGCTCTGTTCCTGGGAAGTGTGATCACTTGGTTAAGGTGACAGTCACTGGATTTCTCCTGTTCAGAAGTAGAGTTTTCTAAAAGTAGAGTTTTCTCTTTGCTTTTAGCAAGTAATCTTGCACATATCCTGTTTCTCAACCACTTTTTATTTATTGATTTTAGCATCCATTGATGATTCTTGCCTGAATGAGTTGAGTTCCTTCACATATTTTCAGTAGCAATTTAACATTACAGGATTTTTTTTTTCTTTTTACATTTATGTAATTTTTAATACTGAATATCTCAGTTATAGTAATAGTACTATATTTAATTTATTTGCTTTAATATCCTTTTTCATCAAAGAATTTAAAAATATTAGCTTTGCAGGAAACAATATGTGGTCTTTATTTTATTTGCTCCCAGCAGATTTATAACAAAATTTTTATAAACTTGTAAAATATCTGTTGAGAAAAAGTACGATTATGTGGGTTTATGAAATATAGATTTCAGTTATTTAAAATTCCAATGAGAACAAGCTTATATTTTAATACAGTTACTGATGGGGGTAATTAAGCATCAATTAATAAACTTGCAGTTTTCTAAAATACATATAATGCCACATTGCAATTTATGTACAACTAACGGTTGTATAGTTTCTTTCAATTGGAAATAAAACCTGTACTTTAATATCACTATGTAAAAATCAGTATGTAAACATCTAAATGAAAGGTTTACAAAATATTTAGTGTATTCTTTTGTTATAGATACTTAAACAAATTTTGGGGAGGAACATTTATAACTATAACCATGGTACCTAAGTATTTTTGCATGTTTTTCATTTTGCATATATGAAAAACAGGTATATAATATAAAATTATTTGAAGCCGTATAGTTTGAAATTCCCATGTGTTGATATTCATTCAAAAAATATCACTTGCAGTTGAGTGAAGTTTTAGATTTTATGAGACTTCTTTTTATCCTTTGAACATTTTCCAGTAAGATTATAAAGTTAATATTGCGCTCAAAAGTTTCTTCGAATTTTTTTTGTTGTAGTTATGTTACCATTTGACATATTGATAGCTTCATTTGTTTCCTTACTTTCAGTTTGGAGGCTTGGCATTTTTTTCTCCACTTGATTTAATTTTTTTCAATATTTAAAATACTTTTAGGGTACAAAAATCACAATTATATGACAACGTATACTCATTAATCTTTCATTTATATCTGTCTCCTCCCAACCCTGCAGGTAACCGTTATTGTTGATTTCTGGGTTATCTTTCTAATGTTTCTTTTCGTGAAATAATAAAATACTTCTATTTATTTTTAACCCCCTTTTTACACAAAAACTAGCATACTCTATTACTGTCCTGCTCCTTACTTTTTTGACTTAATGTATCCTGGAGATCATTCCACATCAGTTCATAGAGATCTTCCTCATTCTTGTTTAATGGCCGCATAGTACTGTGTTGTTTGGATGAATCATGATCTTTTCAGCTAGTCCTCTATTGATGGATACTTGAATTTTTCCCCCAATCATTTGCTCTTCCAAATAATGTTGTAGGGTTGTACATGAGTTGTTTTGACTTAATGGAAGTATATCTTAGAGTAAATTCCTGTTGGCACATGAGGTAGTTTTGCATATGTAATATTGTTATATTTGCCAAATTCTCCTCTGTATAGGTTGTAATCATAGAGATTAGTGGAGTATGAGAGTATCTGTTTCTCCACAGGCTTTTCAAGAGTGCGTTGTTACACTTAAGGACCTAATGGTAGCTTTAATTTATCCTCTGATGATTGAAAACAAGCATTTTTTCATATGCTTAAGGGTGATTTTTCTTTTCTGTGAATTGTCTCCATACTTTTTGCTCTTTGGTTTTTGTCTTTTTCCTTTTCCTTTTTAAAAACCCGTTATATAGTCGAGAATTTAACCTTCTGAGATATAAGTTGTAAATATTTCTCCTGGATTATCACTTGTGTATTGACTTAAATTATCATGGTCTTTTGGGCTTTTTTGCCATACAGTTTCTTTTTATGTATGCAAATTTATCAAGTTTTTCCTTTAAAGCTTCTGGATTTGGGGTCATAATTAGAAATGCTTTCCCCACTGCCAAGTAATAAAGGAAATGACACATTTTCATTTATTACTTATATGGTTTCATTTTACTACCTTTAGATCTCTAATTCATTAGTATTTTATTCTGACACATTGTGTAAAGTATGGATCTGATTCAGTCTTCTTTCAGATGGCCATTCACTTGTCCCAATAGCATTCATTGGAAAGTTTAACTTTACCCCCATTGATTTGAGATGCCACCATATATCACATTCATGTGTACTTGTACCTCTTTCTGGTTTATATATATTTTCATTGTTTTTTATGTTACTTATGTACCAATACCACACTGTGTTAATTATGGAAGACTTCATAATATCTTTTAATACCTCGTTAGGGCTACCTTCCCTCCCCAGTTGTTTTTGTGTGTATGTGTGTGTGTTGGGGGGGTGGTGCTGGATAGTCTTAATTGTTTATTTTTTGTATACATTTTACATTCAATTCTTGTAGCTCTGAAAAAAATTAATGGTATTTTTATTGGGGAGTATTGACATCTTTATGAAGTCGAGTCATCTTATCCAAGAACATATGATGTCTTTCCATTTATTTGTCTCCTTTTTTTTTTGTCTTTTTTAAGAGTGCTGTTTAGAAAGCTTTTTATTATAGAAAATTCAAACATACAGAGAAATAAAAATAATAGTATAATGAACCCTCCTGGACTATTACCCAGCTTTTACAATGATCAGCATTTTTAATAGCTGGAGTACTTGACTTATATCTGGGGTCCAGTTCTTGACTCTATGTTTATCTGACTTCAAAGGCAATATTGCTCTGGTTGCTATTACAGAAGAGTTTCTAGGTAACTGCAGTGGTTATCACATTTATATAGTCTCCGAGACATTTTTTTAAAGGCGAAGAGCTACCGATGTTTCAGCCGTTTCAGATAGCAATTAACTAATATTCCAGAGAGTAATTTATAACCAAACAAAAGTTAAATACTGTTGCTTATCAAAATATAATATGCAAAAGTTAAAAGTCATAATTACAAATTTAGAACGAATGTGTTCAAAAGTTTCAGTTCACTTCATTAAGTAATGAGGGAACCAGTAAGATGGTAAAACTGGTTCTAACTGTTGGAGGAAGTTGAGTTTACATAATTTTTCCTTAAAAAGATAAAAATAATGAATATTAGAAAAAAATTGCCAGGTTAGAAACAAAACTTGGTTAATGTCCTATAGGTAACCTTTGGGTTATATTTTCTATTGGACAGAAATCATTTGCATATCTACTGGACACAAATCTACAGGTTAATATGTAACTTCACAGAGTCTGGGTCCTTAATTAATAGTAAGTAGCTAAGTTAAAATCGTTTATTCATCTAGAAAATTAAGTAACCCTTGAGTGAACATGTTAAAGCAAAGTCGGCAAACTAGTCTGTGGGTCGAATCTGACTTGGTGCTTGTTTTCATTGTGTCTTTTTGGAACACAGCCACACTCACTTGCTGCCTACGGCTGCTCATGTACCATCCTGGTAAAGCTGAGTAGTTACGACAGATATTACTGGCCCACATAGCCTAAAATATGTGCTATTTGGCCCTTTACAGAAAAGTTTACCGACTCCTGTATTAAACATTGCTTCAGGATGATATTGAAAGGACATGTTGCCATTATCTTGGCCTTCCAGGATTGGGGTGATTTCTCTTAACAACCCAAATGAACATCAAGATGATAAAATCTGCTCTGCCTGGTATTTCTGTACCTAATGAACTTTTCATTTTTCTCCTTCTCTCCTTCTGCATTTTGCTTTATGTGTCTATGTCTTTCTCTTTGGTGTAGCCACCTTTCTAGTTCTCTCTGTATCTTTTCCTACAGTTCTCCCTTTCCTCCTGCTCTGTATTTCACCCCCCTCCCCCAACTCCTCCTCCTGGCTGTAATTCGAAATGTTAATATATTTAAATATGGTACTGGTAAAGTTTTATATTCCCTGTTCTTAATTTTTAATTTAGGTCAGTTTAAATTGTTATGTGTTTTCTTCAAAATCAAACCAAAATACAAACCAATTTGAGTTATCAAAATTTTTGTGGATTCTAGTCATCTCTTTTCTGCCACTCACCACTCCCTCCACGTCCAGTTGTAGCTTTCAGTTGAAGAAAAGTTTCCTACACTGTTTTAATTAAGCTAAAGGAGTAGGGAAGACATAGAAATAAGAGGACTTTCTTAGTTCTAAACTTTGTTTGAGAATATTTAAAAACATTTTTTTAATGTATAGTTTTATATAGGAAACTGATGGATACCTTAAAGTAACTTGAAAGCTGTATAGAACAGTTAACTTTTTAGTTCACATTTACTAAATATTGATAGTTGGATGTTTGATGGTACAGTCTTAAGATAGTAAGTATACTTGCAGAACTAAAGTTCTGCTCAGTAAAGACCTTATTTTCTTAAGGGTTTTGAAATCTAAACATGCTTTTCTATTTAGAAAAGGTTACATTTAGTGTAGCTATTTAATGTAATGCTTTTTTATTCTCACATCCTGTGTGAAGTAGAAGTAGTGCTCAATTAAAAATTAAAGAATTTTACCACTTAATAAGTAATATTTTTTTACCTTCAAGATAAAGCAGAAGGAGAGAAAGAGCAATACCGACACTTTGTATGAAGTCGTATGCTTGGAAAGTGAATCAGAAAGAGAGAGGAGGAAGACGACAGCCAGTCCCTCAATTCGCCTGCCACAGTCTGGATCTCAGAGTTCAATGATACCTTCTCCTCCAGAAGATGATGAAGAGGAAGGTAAATTGTAGGGAGAGCGTTTCTGTTTTGGGGTGGAGAACCATTAAGAGTATTATAATTTTATCAGGCAATAATGTGACATAGCATTTGGAATTCTTTTAATAAATATTTATGCAAAGGCCTATTGGAGATTCAAAACGATTAATGCAGGACCTTCTTTTTAAGATAATTATAATCAAGTTACCAAGAAATTTGGGCCCAGCTAAAGGATAGCATTAGTTAGGACTCACATCTAGTTCTGGCCAATAGCAGGCATAAATTTTTAAATATAATTGAGGGGGTTCAAAGACCTTTACTGACAGCTCTTAACTAGGGAAAAATAAGGACTCCTGGCATCATGGGAGAATCAGGAAACGCTAGAACACAAGCTTTGTGAAGGAAGAGAGTGTGTCCGTTTTTGCCACACGATGTTTCTCTAGTATACAACGCAGTCCTTGGTATGCAGGAGATGCTAACTGGGACTGAAGAGACCATGCAGCCTTGCCATCTTTAGTCTCTAACCCAGGTCCTGTTGTGAACTGTTTGCTCCCTGGAAAGAAATGCCTACAGTCTTCTAGAGAGGCTCCTTATGCTGGGACATTTGTGCTCACAGGCCCAGAAGCCAGCAGTTATACAGGGCGGGTGTTCACAAGCAACATCCTGAACCTGAGGTTGCAGCTTACTCCTCACCCGCACCCCTGCCTTAGGTGCATGGAATTCTGAACACAGATTTTAAACTCCTGCTATCCAGATTTGTTGAAAGCATTTAGACAGTAAAAGAGAATTTTATTTAAAGGTCTTTCTAATCTCTTTGAGGGAATCATCATCTCTTATAAATTTTAGTACATTTTTTATAGCTGCCTTCCTCCAAAGAGTTGTATTATATTGATATTTTAGTGAGTAGAGAATTACCTGAGGCATTAGAAAGTAGGGCCAATTCTGGCAAAATAGTGAAGTAGAAGTTTATCTCAGTGCCCTCAAGCCTTTCTCTTTTCCCGATTCATCCATCCACAGAAGATGTCTCGAATTCAGTTTAACCTCTTCCCTATCTAACCATCAAAACTGATGATAATGCCCAAGGCATTATAATGTAATAAAGTTTAGTAATAAGTATCTCATGGATTTCTGAGCCTTTAAAATCAGTGGTCTCCGATAATTACTATCCCTAGTAGAAATACAAATTCATGGTGTAATCATCAAGTGTGTAAAGCACCAACCTTTGTTTAGACAAGTTAAATCAGAAAAATCTAGAAACAGCATTGGTGAGGACACATGGAAACAAGTACTGTTGTATCCAGCTAGTGGAAATATAATTTAGTAAAACCATTTTGGAAGGCAGTTTGTCAGCAAGTTTCAGAATCCTTAAAAATATTCTTTAAAAAAAAAAAATCTAGGAAGTCCACTTCTGGGCATATACCCAATGAAAGCAATGAGATATGTTCATCTTGATTCTATTTGTAGCAAAAAGTTGAAAACTTCCCAAGTGTCCAACAAAAGAGGATTGATTAAGTAGATAACTTAGTTCTTATTTTTTCCCCCACTTTTACTACACTTTTCAATGCTTCTCACATGCCTTTATCAGTCACTTTTTTCACCATTTTTCTCTTAAAATTTTTAAATTCGTATTTTAATTTAGTTTTCATAATCACTTGAATTAAACTTGAAATGATTCATTTTGGTCTTTTAAATATTTTTGTACTTTCTGTTATAAATGAATGTATGCCATTGTAGAAAATTTAGAAAGTCGTGAAAACATGAAAGAGAAAAAAAAATCTAACTTCATCATTCAGAGACGGTAATTGTGCACGTCTTGGCCATGGTTCATTCCAGACCATTTCCTATTACTTCACATAGATTAGGTCATAATGAAGATTTAGCTCTTGATAGTTTTATTTTCTGTGGTATTTTGTCATATCATTATGTAAACAAATGTCAACATGCAATAACATGTTTTCATAATTTATTCGTCCATTTTCTACTCTCCCATTGTTGGACACGTAGGTGGTTTGTAATTTTTTTTAACTGCGATGAATTTTCATGCATAAAGCTGTTTGTTATGGAAAAGGAGAGAGAAAATACCATATTTAGAGGCCTCTCATCTTAATTAATAGCTCTTTTCTGAAGTTGACATAATATGGACCTGCATGGAAAGCAAAAGAGAATGAGAGATTACATTCTCTCATTGACGCCTAGGACCATTTTTATTTTCTTTGTATTTATACCTATACACGAAAAGAGAGAAATTATGACTTTCTGCTTCCAGTAAAATCTTTTGAATTTGACTGTTATGTTTCCACGCCATTCTTCTGGCTAGCATAGCCACTTCTGTTATCTTTTTGTGTGTGTTTTGGTTATTAAAGATAACGATGAACCTCTCTTGAGTGGATCTGGTGATGTATCCAAAGAATGTGCAGAAAAAATTCTTGAAACATGGGGAGAACTGCTGTCAAAATGGTAAGTTATAATAGAATAGTTCTCTTTTTCATCTGTGATTCTCTTTTTTGGATAGGGCATCTTACCTAACTACAATATTCAATTTTGGAACCAATAATGGAAATCAAAATATGAGGTTCACAGTCTAGAATCTGTTTTTAGAGGTATATGAGCATAGTAGTGAAGATCTGCAGTCAACTTTCAGAATATCAGAAACCTAATACATTCTCATTGCTTCAGAAAATGGTGAGACTAAATAAGGAAGGAGGTCCTTTGTATTTAAGAGGTTAGGAACCACTGACTGGTTAAAATAATACACAGTAGTTAAGACAATACACAATAATCAGTGAAGTGTAGAGGATGCTCACACAATGCATAGAGCCACAGAAGAGACCCCAGGTGGGATTTTCATTATCCGTGTTAGGTACCTAAAGTGACAAAACAAAACGTTATAAATACGGTATATATTAACTGCTCTTGCAATTTCTTTTCCAACTAACACTTGTAAAATTCAGGAATTTCTTATCTCAGGAGATAGTGACAACAATGTTAAGCCATCCTATAAACTGTCTAAAAATAATATGCTACCTTCAGGTGTTTACTAATGAAACCAGAGACATGGGTAAGTCAGGTTGGTAAGACATTTATGTAGTTTCCTTTTCCCCTGTGTAGCATACCAGTATATGCTGGAAAAAAAGCCACGCTTGAAAGTGATGGGAGCACTTGTCTATTTCAGACTTTCTGGTTATTAGGGTTGTCATAGAAGCACCCTGTGGGTCTGATTTTTCTCGGAAGTTTTAACTGTTGAAGCCTTTTGCTGTATTCTTAGTAAAATCGTGTCTCAGCATTTTAAAAAAAACTTCATGCCCTTCAGGTTTAGGACTACAAATGGGCGTCATCTGCTCCTAGCACTCTCACAATGCCTTACACTCTTGGTAAAACACTCTTCACATCGGGAAATGTCAAATGTGTACAGGAGGAAAGTGCAGGCCAAAGCGTGGTTTGTCTTTACATAGTAGTTTTAATAAATAAGCTCTGCAAAAGCCCCCCAGAGGAATAGTTCTCATTTATTTTTGATATTCCTTTAGCAATCAGGAGACAAACCTGCTGATGCTCTCGTCACAATTATATTTTCAGTTTAGTGAATTTGGAGTGTTTGGACTGCTGCTGGGAGGAATTTCATCTGTATAAAAAGGTTTCTGCTCTAAAATAGAATGTAATTGAGTCTCGAACGGTTACAAATAATATATTTAAAATTATTTCAATACAGCATTTAGATTTTAGATTTTATTAGAACTCATCAGCATTTTATACAATTGCTTAGAATTTATTTTGTTATCAAGCTTATTCATTTTGTTATTCATTTAATTAAGTTATGTCCTTCTCCCATTCTCAGATATATTAACTGAGTTTCCATCTGTTTTAACTGTCTTCAGGGTGTTTAAAACTGTTTATGCTGGTTTCAGTCATGTATTCAGAAATAGTAATATAGTTTCTCCTCAATTCATTTCATTATTTTTTTTTCCATTATTATTATGTGTGTTATATAGATAGGAAGATCACGGAATTTTAGAACCTTGTAGACATGGCTTCAGAGCCTGCCTCTCTACTTCCACACTGTATGATCTCGGGCAACTCACTTAACTCTTTGGAGTCTCTATCTTCATTTACAAAATACAAGTCTATAAAACTACCATTCAGGATTATTAGAGATTAAAAATAATGAATATAGTAGTAGTAGTAATTGTAGTTAAGAACGAGTGAATTTTACCATTCCTCAGGCGCCGTGCTAAGTTATGTGCTCTATCTCAACAATCACAGCTTTATGAACAAGTATCCATTTTCACAGATGAGGAAACTGGCTCAGAGATTAAGTCAGCAATTCTAGTTAGTAAATGGCAGGCCCAGAATTTTTAACACAGTCTACAATCCAGTCCCAAAGCTGGTTTATTTAATTCTACATTAGATTTTCGTGACAATATTAGTAATAACACCTCCAGGCTCTAATTCTCCAAGTTTATTTTAATGTGACTCTTAGTGGATAAGAGAATTAATGTCAGTGTAAGATAGTGTGCTATATTGGATAAAGTTAATAGTATTGGTGACAAAATTATTCTGAAAATGATGTTACCAATATATATTAAGCTAGAGTTAGCAAATGAACCTAGGGTTAGGTTTATTTTTTCTGTAAAGGGTCAAATGTAAATATTTCAGGTTTTGTAGTCCAGGAGTTTCTGTCACAGTTAGTCACCTCTGATGTTGCAGTGTGAAAGCAGTCATAGACATACATAAACAAATAAAAAATGACTGTGTTTTATTAAAAGCTGATTTATAGGAGCTAGATTTGACCCACAGACCATAGCGTACCAGTCCTTGACTTAAGTAGCTACTTTCGTTCTTTCTGCTCCCAGCTCTTCAATTTTTAGGTAATTTTTTTTCCTAAGCAAAGACAAAACTGTATTGAATTGTCTGTAGCTCTTGCATTAGGGTACTAGCATCACAGAGTTAACCATTTTTAATGTAGTGTGCATTATTCTGCAGAATTCCGAGAACATTTTGAAAAAAAGTCTCAGGCCTTTTTACATTTTGATAGTGGTCATTTTGTATTGGTAATTTCTGCATAAATCTGATCGTCACAGGGCCTTCTTCATGTAGACTTCTGCTTTAATGACACAGTAATAGTGGCTTTCATATTACAGAGCAGCTGGGATATAACAAATGGAACATTTATTTGTCTTAGAGCTTGAGGACTACCTCAGTTATTCAATCGATTTCCCTGAACTTCTAATACCATATACCTCAGATGCTTGTTACGAGGATCAAATAAGAATGTGTGATTGTATATTCGTATATTGATACCAACATTTTAAGTTTTATTCCCCCATTTTATAGATGAGAAAGATGAAGCTCAAAGACTTTAACAACTCATTTTGATGTCTTAATAGTATAGTAGAAACTGTCTTAATCACCATAGTCATTCAAAAATAGCACTTGAAGCAAGATATCACAAAAACTGCTGAAAGCATTTCTTTTTATATTTATTTTAAGTATTTATTTTAACTTAGAACAAATATTTATTTTAGCTTAGAGTGTATAAGTACACAGTGTATTTGTCAATTTTGATGCAAGGCCAAGCCCTTATCTTTGGCTGTGTGTCCACCGATGGGAATTTTGCTTTGTTTATCTTATCTAACCTATAACCCGTAACCCATAAAGCTATGGTTTCCAGTTTTGCTTTTTATTTAAAAAAAAAGAGCAGTAATTTAAGATACTTAGGAAGTAATTCCTTCTTTTATAGTTATCTTGGCCTCATCTAATTCAACAGCTTTGTCTTTTTTTTTTTATTAGCATGTGACCTTTATTAAGTCTTTGTACATCATTTAGTTTGGTTTTCATAAAAATAACACTCTTTATGGAATCTTTTATGCACTTCTGGATTATGGCTTTATTTTTAGGCATCTCAATCTGAGTGTGAGACCAAAGCAGTTGTCACCCTTGGTGAGAAGCGGTGTTCCCGAAGCTCTTCGCGGTGAAGTCTGGCAGCTGCTCGCAGGTTGTCACAACAACGACCACCTGGTGGAAAAATACCGCATTCTCATCACAAAGGTAAGGGGACGCTCTTTCAGCTTCAGCATGAATACTTTCAGAAATTTGCTGGGAAAAGATCAGTGTGGCTGTTTGATTTCCAAGAATTTTTTTTAATAATTCCTTTACCTAATATAAGAATAGAACTTTCCTACTTCTGGCCCAAAGTTATTTCTAGTGTTGGCACAAAGGAGAAGGCATACATTTTCTCCCTTGATTGATTTCACCTCAGAGGCAAAAGGGTGTCCTCTCCCCTCTGTGCATCTAATCTTTTTTGACCATAATTACATTTTTAGTCAGATCAGTTGTGCTATGCAATGTGTAGAAACTTTCTTTCGTTTGTTTTCATCCTTTTTATACATCACAGAAATGTACTCTTTGTAGGTAGGGCCTACTTTCTAGCTTCTACAATTGAAAGCACATGGTTCTTTCATATTCCCTTTTAGTTCATTTATCTAAAGTGAAGAATTCTCATTTTTTTATGGCATTCCATTCTCAAGTTCATACATTCTTTAAGTTTTTGCAAGTGAAGTAACAAAAACAACTCCTCGTACAAGGATACAAGAATTTGAAATACTTTTCTGCAAGGTTAGGTAATGCTTTGTGCCTTTGCAACCATGTTATTGGTTTTAATTTTTGTTTTTGTTTTCTCAAATTCTTAAGATGTTTATATTTAGGAAACAGTTTCTCCAGTGATATGCAAATCTTAAACCTGGGTTATGAATGAATTGTTCAGAAACCTCAATAACATATGAGAATTTTTCAATGTGACAAAAGGTGGAACTTCTTTTAAAAATATATTAAAATCTAATTAGAGATGAGTAAGACCTCTATACCTCTATAAAACTGTTATTTAAAAAAAAAAAATCTTTAAAAGGGAAGAACAACACTTGAACATGAAATTGTACCTTTCCTCAACAGATAATAGTACTGATTTGCCAAACTATTAGTGTTCCTTCTCATCATGTTTTTTCTTTCCAGAACTAGTATTTTAATTTTCTCCATTATGGTGATAAAATTGTTTAACAAGCATTTATTGAGTGCTTGTTACAGCCACAATGCTGGAGCTAGGGGGTCAAACACAAAAGCAGTTAACTGTCATATAATGGACATTTGTCATGTGATGCTCTGAAAAAGCACAGTGGGAAACATCAAAAGTAGTAATAAATTCAGCCTGGGAGAGTAGGAGAGTCTTTATCAGGAGTATAACATTTAGGATGGTCCCAGAGAAGAGCTCCCCAGGTATAGAAGGATGGAAGAGCAATGTGCTCATAGAATGAATGGAGGCGTCAAAGATGAGCGTGTCCAACATGTCGAGCTAGCAAAGTAAATCTCGTTGATTTTTTTCATTTGTTGGTAAATCATATTTTACTTGATTGGATATATAATTCTCAGTTGTTAACTCTTTCTAGTTCTCTTTTGAAGTCCTTTGAATGTTGGCCAAAAATTATTTCTTAAATATTTTCGGTTTGGCTATTCATACCAATAATTTAAAGACATGAAGTATTCTGTTTTTCTGGTTCCATGAAAATGGTGACGTCTGTTTCTCAAATGGTAATTATATGATGTGTAAAAGATTAGCTGTTCACACAATCTGATATATTCTATTAATGTTTTATATATGCTGATGTCGTGTGCTTTATATTTCACATTAATCTTTTATAATGGAGATGGCTAGAAGCTAAAAAGATTTCTAATGGATATATGCATTAGTTTAAATTGCTGGTAGATGATCATTAAATACAAATTATTTAACCATCATAATATTAGTGAATGCTTTTTATTTTACACAGTGTTATCTAATACAAGTTGGTATTTTGTGTCTTCCTGGAAATATATATCATTGTATGGGAGTGGTAATTGACATTTTTCAATTTGCTTTGAATTTTTTTGAGAGGAAAAACTACTTAAAGTTTTTTTAAATTAATTTTACAATGAGCTGTCCTTTACATAGGCTAAAATTCACTATTTTAAAGTGCACAGCTTGATGACATTTTACATATAAATACACTGCCGTGACCACTACCAAGAGGAAGAATGTATTCATCACCCCAAAAAGTTACTCCTGCCCCTTTCCTGTCATAGCCACCCTTACTCGACCCTTGAACCATTATTCTGAGTTCTCTCTCCCTAGATTAGTTTCGATTGTGCTTGAACTTCCTTTAAATGCAGTCGTATAGTCATGTAACATGTACTTGCTTGTATCTGACATTTTTTACTCATCCATTTTGGGAGTGTATCTTTTTGTTTTCATTTTTTTAATTGCTGAGAGTATTCCATTACATCAGCAAACCACACTCTAAAAAAAAATTTTTTCTGCCTTTATAGATGTTTATGCGTTTTTCCCCTCCAGTTTTAGCTTTCATGAATAAAGCTGCTATGAACACTCTTGCATATAGGAGGTGGTATGTGCTGAATGTTTGTGTCTCTCCAAATTCATATGTTGAAACCTAACCTCCAGGGTAATGATGTTAGGAAGTGGAGCCTTTGGGAGGCAATTAGGTCATGAGGGCAGAGTCCTCGTGATAGGGATTAGCACTTTTATAAAAGAGGCCCCAGAAAGATCTCTTGCTACCTTCCGCCATGTGAGGACAAAGCAAGAGGTCAGTGGTCCGTAGCCCAGAAGAGGGCCTTCACCAGAGCCCAGCCATGCTGGCCCCTTGGATTTAGAGCCTGTGAGCAATAAATTCCTTCTGTTTATAAGCCATTCAGTCTGTG